CTATATCTCTGAGATGAGGTATTAGGATTAATTATATTATTTATATTATTCGGACAGTTATCCTCATCTTCATTGTCATATTCAACGATTCGGCCGTTGTACGCTTCGGCCTTCTTCAGGTGATTGGAATTTCGATTCGAACCCTTTATTCCGTCCACCGAGGTAGATTGTTCTAGTTCCACGTGCCATGCCTCTTCCGGATGTCTCAGTTATTTCCCTTTAACTCAACTCTCCAAGGACACATGGCCCAGTGGATAAAGGCGTTGGTTAGATCCAAAGAGTTGTGAGTTCAATACCAGGCAATAGCAGCGGTGAACCAAAACTTGGGGAGTTGATTTAAGCGAAAAAACTGAGACATCCATAACATTCTATTAATGTGAAATGTTTTTTGAAACTAAATTTGTTGTTTTTTATGTGGTTTGCTGATAAATAGTAATTTAAAGCAGGCCATCTTTTTTGTAGAGTAGTCAGCCACGAAAATAGAGATAGAGCGAATTAATATGAGAAATTTTTTGGCCAACTGTTAAAGTATATATATATATATATATATATATATATATATATATATATATATAAACAATTATATATGTTTATGCCAATTATTAAAGTCTATAACCCTTTGACAGCGTCTAGCATTCAGGTCTTCTGCACAAGTTGAAAAGTTATGGTATATCAAGACAACTGGATCAGGTCAAAAACTTGATCCAGTTGTTCCTATCACATCGTGAAATGAAAGTCATCCTGAATGGCCACTCGTCTACATCCTTTTGTACTAACGCGGGTGTCCCCCAGGGCTCCATCCTTGTTCCTACGCTGTTTTTAATCTTCATTAACGACCTTCCCGGTGATAGCAGCTCTCAAATTGACATCTACGCTGACAACACTACCATGAATCATGCCTGTAGTAAGGCTGATTAGTCAGACAAGGTGAAAATGGCAGCTGATGTAAAAAACGACCTCTAGACCGTCGTGAACTGGGGCAAAAGATGTCTTGTCAATTTTATCGCCTCCATAACTAAACTACTCCCCTTTAACCACCTGACAAACCCCGTCCATCTGCATAGCTGATGTTATCCTCCAAGAAATTGATTCTTTGCGCCTTATCGATCTAATGTTCGCAGCTGATATGAGGCAGAAAGACTAGACTGAATCCATTGACAAATCAGCTGCTAAGAAAGTCGGTTCACTGTGTCGAGCGAAACAATTTTTCTCTCTGGAATTTTTCATATCTATAAATCTACCATTCGTCCATCCTTGAATATTGTTCCCTAGCTATTTACCTGGGGCTCCTTGATAAGATCCAAAGAAGAATCAGCAATATTATTTGTCTTGATCTGGCAGTTCGGCTTCAGTCACTTGCCCTCTGTCGTAAGGTTGCCATTAGGCCTTCTTTATAAATAATTTCATGGTAATTATTCGGATGAGCTCTTCGCTTTGGTACTTAGACTGTATGAATTTAAGCGCAATATTATAGACTGACTCTATGTAGCTGTAACTTCTATGCTAACAGTTTCTTATCTCGCACTTCTCGCTTGTGGAACTCCCACCTGGCTCCATGCTTCCCAGCTAACTTTAATCTGCAAAAATTTAAGTGCCATTTCATCGCTATCTATTGTGTTACTGTTTGCTCTTTTCTCTTTCCCTCATTAATAATGCTTCTATTCCTAATTCCTCCTCATCCTGTTACCCTTTGGGTGCTTGGGTCTTTACTACCTTGCTTATGGTGATACCGATTTAATATATATATATATATATATATATATATATATATATATATATATATATTCACACAGGGTCCGAATTGTTGTTTAAATTACACAAAACTGAAAATCTCACTGACATATCATTTTAATAGATATAATTGCCAAAATACACAAAAATATCTTGAAATAGTAAAGAGTAAATTGATTCAGTAAAATCGCCATTGTTTTCAATTATAGTCACCAGAGGACTTTAGAATCTCCTACGACATTTATGCACGGTCTCCTTGTTTAATTTAGTGAATGCTGCCATAATCCTTGCCTTTATTTTATCTTTGGTGTTGCAAGAAGATTTGTTGGTCTCCCGCTCAACTACGCCCCACACAATGAAGGGGTTGCCGTCTGGGGAGTTAGGTGGTCAGATGTAAGTAGTGGTGTGGTCGTAGAAATTGTCTGACAGCCATGAATGTGTTCTGCTTGTGTGGCATGATGCAGAGTGCTGTTGCCAGGCATAAGGTCTTCCAGAAGCAAACCGTCTTGACCCAGAGCAACACTACCACCTCAAGGCACTTAATGTAGGCGACCGTGTTGAATCTGAGGCTCTCCCCAACAAATTTGGTAGTTCTTTTCTTAACAGAATTATTAGAGTGAGTTTTCCGTGTTGCCGTACCTTCATAATCACCATTAGACTTATCCAACCTCTTCCGAATCCTCTGCATTCTCCTTATATTGACACTCCAAAACATTGAAATATTCGTATTGGTGCTTCCGGTGCGAATGCCAAACAGTACACCATGCTGTTTCCAAATTTCTAGCCGAGTGAATTGCTTCATAGTACACATTTTCTTACAGACGGTACTCAAATGACCTTATTTTATTGTGTAGTCGACAAAATGGAAAACAAACAACACGCATGCGCAAAATTAAAAATATAAAATGGCGATAATCTATATAATATATATATATATATTTATAATATATAATATATATTTATAATACATAAGATATATATTTAAAATATATATATATAATATATATATTATATATATATATATATATATATATATATATATATATATATATATATATATATATATATATATATATGAACATGCGCTTATACACGTAGGCAGATGAAGTATCATGATAACTCCAGCGATAAGCAAGCGTATAATATTCTAATTATCTATACTGATTATTGTTTTGTTTTTATTTTGCTTAGTGTCTTTTTTTTATTTAGTCGACCTATGGAAGATCACACTCTTAGAAAGGTCATCGCGTAATCTTGTTGAACGACATCATTGTAAATCTTCAAATATTTTACGTGGATACAAAATCTAACGAATAATAAACAAAATTATCCAACACAATTTATGCCACATTTAAGTGAGAAGTCTTTTCTTGTTGGGCTAGTTCATTCGAAATGGTCTCTTTTTTGTAATTCTTAGAGCCGGCTATATACGTAACTGGAAGACAGGCGATAGGTTAAAACAAGGGGAGAATAATGTCCTCCTTTCTCTTCGTTTTTTAATGTTCAAACGATATTTGCAAAACTTTATTTTCTTTGCGACTCTGAAACTAATTAATTTTCTTTTTTGGAGATTAATTACAACACTGTAGAAAGGAGTTTTAATTAGAATTAAACAAGTAATTCATAGATTAATTAAAGGTTTAATACGAGTAAGAAGTAAGGAAGGGTGGGAAGGAAGAGGACGGGAAGATGGATGAAAGAAAGGGAGAATGTATTTATGTATGATGAGGAAGAATGGACGGGAGGATAAAAGAGAATAGAAAAGAATGATACAAAAAAAAGGAAAGGGTAAAGAGGAACATAGAAAACAAAATAAAACATGCAATATGCAAATAACTAAGAACCAAAAAAGAGAAGGAAAAAAGAAAAAGGAAAAAAATAAGATTTTAACTGACTATCTGAAAACTCGTGTTGTTGAATAACTTTCTTTCAATGAAGTTTTCGGTTGCAAGTTTATTTTCTCTTCTTCAATGTTTCGATTTTTTTTCAATAAATATCTTTCTTTGTTCTTTAGATCCACTTCCTGATTTTCATTCACTTGTAATGACCTTGTATTTACTTTCAATATCTTTCAATTTATTTAATTTTCTTTGAACCGTATTTTTATTTTTATTTCTTCCTTATCACTTTTATTTTTTTGCTTAACATTTCTTTCTTTCATTCTCTTTGTACGTTCTTTTAATTTATTTATTTAATTACTTTCATTCTGTCTTTCAGTTTAGTTCTTTTTTTTATTCATTTCCCATTCTTTTCATAACATTCTTTTCTTCAATCTTGTTTTCTTTCATTTTATATTTTTTTTACACACATTGTTTCCTTTGCCTTCTTTTTTTTCTTATTTTAGTTTCTTTTCTTTCCTTTCAGACTCTTTCTACGTTCTTCTTTTTTTTACAAGATTTTTTTCTATTTCTTTTATTCATTTATATTGACATCATTTTTTTTTCTTTTTACTACAGCTGGCAACTTCCGCGATGATACTCGCTCCATAAGACAGAAATCGGGTTTGGGAAGTAAATAACCTATTCTTTCTTTTACTTTATTTTCTTTGATTCAATTACTGTTTTTTTCTTCGAAGGCAGACGGGTCAACCATTCGAAAATAACCATTGGAGCCAAAAGTGTGAATTGGGCCATTGAAGAATGAACATATGGGTTTACAGATAAAATGAGATAATAATGACAAGTAGACGAACTTGCCCACACAATGTCATGTGACAAAGAGGCAATTCCCGATGTTTAGCAGATACGGTTCCATGCATTCTGGATTGCCATTTTATTCTGTAGACTCTGCGAAAAAAAAAATTTCTTAATATCTAATGGAGCGCACTGAGAACTCTTGTCTCGCGGCTCCAATTTTTCTCGATGAACGTGAATTGAAAGCAAGAACAAACCTTTCCATTATAACCACACGTATCTCCGCTTACACACTCACACACACAATAATATATATATATATATATATATATATATATATATATATATATATATGAGAGAGAGAGAGAGAGAGAGAGAGAAAAGGGCAGATTGAGATAGATGAGTATGAACTCCTTCGAGTCATAGATACAAGTAGATTAATAGACACAGACTGGGATTAGATGAATAAATAGGAATAGGTCGAGGATATATCGCTAGAAACAGGTTTGGGATTAGATAGATAGATAGATAGATAGATAGATATTGGCCCACATTAGATAGATAGAAAGAAACAGGCCGACATCTGAGAGATTGATATAGAAACAGGCTAAGATTATAGATAAGGTCTAGATTAGATTATAGATAGATAGATAGATAGATAGATAGATAGATAGATAGAAAGAAAGAAAGAAAGAAAGAAAGAGGCCGAGGGTAGATAGATAGATCCGAACTTAATGCAGGTTCGCCTCTACATAGTTTTGTTGATTTACTTATTTGTTTATTCTGTCTGTTTTTTCATACTTTTATTTTTCTTTGAAGCTCAAGAACGAAATAGGAAATGGATCCTTTTTAACTGTAGGGAATGGATAGGGAATCGTAGAAAATGTATTGTTTTATTTCTTTACATCATATTCTATCCATTGAAAACTTAATTTCCCCTTTTCCAATAATAATAATAAATGAAGGAAGAAAAAACGCAGCAAAAAAAAACGGAAAGAAAGAATAGATAAATTGAAGAGGCAGTTGTAAAAAAAATAGCAGATAAAATGACGTTGGTATAGTATCGCATAATAATAGAAGTCTGAAACTATTAAAGCGAACAATGTCAAAGCTATAATAGTATAGAAAAGTCACTGTCTATCATAATTATACATGATTATAACCAGGGCAGGTACATATTACAACCGACCAGGGAGCCACCCTGATTGGGAGCCCCAGGAAGTACTTTGTGGCCATTGCTATCTTATCAACATTTGCTTTTTTCTACATACATTTATATATCTTACAAATTAAACTAAGCGCAAATGACTGTTAAAGGATGAAAAGTTTTCGCGAATTTTGACGTCATTCTGGGTTGTCCGTGAATTTGTTTTGCTCATTCTTAGTCTCGAAAAAAAAAAAAACACTATATAAAATTCACTATGTATTATCCATAAATGTTGAATGGGTTAATATTATTCAACTTTTTAATAAGAAAAATGTCAAGCTGATGTCAAAAATTGCCGCAAAACATGTTTTAAGACGGTATGATCTATTATGACATGTTTGTATTTTGTATTTAGATACATTGTATTTATTTTCAATTTTTCTAGTTGAATTGTTCACCTGTATAGCATATGATCCATTATCGCGCACAATTAGGTTACAATAAAATACAGTGGAGAAATTTCAATAAAAGATTATATGAACACAAAAGGAATATTTTACAAAACAACACATCAAACGTATTAGTTTCTCACCTTAACAAGACTGAACACAATTTTGATATAGAAAGACTTACCCTCATTAAAAGAGGAAACAGTTCACTAAGACGGAAATGTTTAGAAAGTGCTTTTATCGCTAGATCACCCACAATAAATTCGCGTCATGGTTCTTACAGCGTTTCGCCATTCTTGACAGATCTTCTATTATCACAGTTAACACAATGTGGAATATTTAATAACAAAGTTGGTGGAAAGAAAAAGAATCTATGTGCAAGTTTATTTACCCGAAACACAAAAAATTAAATTTAAAATTGGCAGCGTGCGCATGTGCAGTCGCACCAACATAAACTTAGTCCGATAAAGTCGTAATGGACAAAATGTGTCACACGAAAAAAATTTCCATTTTGTCATACATCTTTCCCGCATAACTGTTCTTGATCTATAAAAATTATATATCGTTATCATATATATATATATATATATATATATATATATATATATATATATTAGATAAACAGATCGAAATATGTACAGGAAATAGAGAAAACGATACAAATGGCTTTCGCATTTATGTGTTTTTTCATGGTCAGAACACTTTTAAATCGAGATTGGTCAAAGTGCTTTCTTTTGTTCATTGAAGCGGTCACAAATCGTCTGGAAATTGAAATTTTTTTCACCCTCCTCTCTAATTTAAGCTTGTCTTTCGTGGTTCTCCACAAACCATTCAATAAACTTAATTGCTACCTCAACGCCTTTCCAAACCGCCACTTATTGATTTCTTCGGTCCATCAGTTTTTCCAGATTGTTTTCCTATTCACACATTCTTTTGTCCCCCCCCACTTTTTTTAAAGGTTTCTGCATATGATTTCCATTTTTTTTTTTTGACAAGTTTTGATTTCGTTTCCTCTATTTTGTTTTTTGCATATTTTAAAATCGTTACTCTGACGTTATTTCATCTTTCCAAACTGTTAAGTAAGCAACGTTTGTTAAAAACAGCTGCTCCAGTGTCGGGCTAATACTTAGCGAGCGAGTTTTGTTGACCATTAGGGGCTAGCTCGATTCTTACAAGATGGTGTGCATTTTTGTCCTTGTGCTAAACTTAGCAAATTTTAACATGTGTCAGAAATAATTGTGTGTTTTTTTTGTTTTTTTTACAGCTTATCTACAATTTGCACGTTATTTAAAGCCAGAAAATATTTTTTTATATTGTAAGAAATTTTTGGAGATAATGATTTACTGATACAATTCCTACTAATTAACCCATAGATAGGGAGGGGAATAAGTGGCGTCATACCTTTCCCAATAGGTATTCGCGTGTAAGTCAATATAACAAAAACGACCGGAAATGTCAAAAATAAGCTTCCATCGAGATTTGATTTATTTTTAGAAACCTGTTTTGTCGGGATAACACTTGACCGACTAGCCAACGAAAACTTACCAACAGACGTCATTCTGATGAATTGCCCGATATTTACTGATACTATTTTCTTCTACGCCATATTGTTTTATTACACCGAAAAGAGTACATAGATTTTTTTCTTATTATTACGTCAAACATCAGTGTTCAGCTTATTTTACTTATATCCTGGGGAACTTTCAAAAACTTATTAAGCCGAATCTCTAAGAGATCTTCTCTCCAAGTAGTACTTCTCCTTCCGGGGCTGGGGGGGGGTCTGGATTTATTGCCTGGTGCTTGAGGTGTCCCCAAAAAGGAGAAGTGCCGAGGGAGCTTGGGTTATTTTTCAACGGTTTTGCCGTTAAACGCATTGTAAATCTTGACCTTGTGTGACATTCGGTAGCGACGTGGGCGAGCTGAAAAAGAAATACTTAATTTTCTTTTTAAAAAAAAATATGTTTTAGCTAAAATTTCTAACCGATTTCATTGGGTTTGTTTTGTTTATAATACTTTTGTGTTAATAGAAAATCTGCCAGAAAAGGTAAGAATTATTGTAAGAAACTGGGCGTAAATCTTCAATTATCACAAAGTGGGATATTTAATACCAAAAGTTATAAAAACCTGAACAAAATGAAAACGAAATTAAATGAAATTGGGTCGGCTATACAGCCAAAAGAAAATATTTTAAAAAAATGCATTTACAATTTCAGCGTATTCTCTCCTATTTAAATTAAATATGGCCACCTTACCCTTTCATGCCATTGTAATTTTTTATATATTTAAAAAAAATATTTGTACGTATATATTCAGAAATAATAATAATAATAATAATTATTATTATTATTATTATTATTATTATTATTATTATATGTCTATGAAAATGCGGTACATGTTCGGATTGAATGGAGAAGGGCGTGTTTTGTGGTGACTGCATCATTTGTTTGAATGAACCAGATTATCAATGAGTAGGATAGATAGTGTTGACCAGCCTTTCTCTCATCGCCTTTCGACTTTGTACATTGTAAATGTAAAATAAACTCTTTTATTCGTATGTATAGTAGGATAGGTTGATTTTTCACTTTCTTTAGAAAATCAACATTGCACGCATTGTGATAACTGAAGGTTGATGTGATAAGTACTGACACCAAAAATTAGATTCATAGCTTTTTACCAATCCTTGAGCATTTAGTCTTAATGGAATAATAGATAGCAGCTCAGACAGCGGAATCGGAGAGCCGAGTTCTAATTCCAGTCAAATCCATTGCATTCACTTACGTGCTAATACTCTTATTTTCCTCCAGCTATGCGTAAATAGCAGGATACACCGGGTTCTATAGCCTTGGATGGCTTACGTGCTAATATTCTTGGGAAAGGTATGAATCCTCTTCTTTTTCTCCAGCTATGGGTAAATAGCAGGATAGACCGGGTTCCTTAGCCTTGGATGGCAATTGGTCTACTGCAGAGAAATGGCAACCTACTGCGGGAAAAAAAATCTGTCTCATCAGCGTGTATCACGCATGGCACATAACTGACTGACTTATGAAAAATGTACAAAAATACCTAATTTCCGAAGGATTTACTTACAAACTGAATTCAAATTTTTCCTATTTCAAGAATAAATCCAAATAAACTTAATATATTTTGTATTAGATAAACTGAATAGAAAATTTATTCAAACCAGAATTGTAATTATGAATCACCCCAAGCAAAACATACATTTTTTTACTGCAAGTAAAAACTAAAATGATTGTAAAAGATTACAAAAAGGATGATAATTAATAACAACAGAAAAATCGGTAAACATGTATATAACACCATAATACTACTGGACACATTATACGACAAAATGTTTTTAATTGGCATTGTTTATTGAAAATCACACTAAAACTGCTGTACTGTATAACATAGCTAAACAGTTCAGTATAATTTCCCTTTGAAGTAAATGAAGGACTTATTTGATGGTATAATAATTTAGCAATAATGTGCTTATGTCATGCATTTTGTCGATATACAATTTGTAAAGCTTCAGTAAATTATAAATTTTAAAAGGCTTTTTTTTTCTATAAGGCTACGCTATAAGGCTTTCACTGAACACCGGAATTCAGTTCCAGCGCTTCGATTTTTAACCTAAACTAATCTTTAAATTCATTTCCTCAAATAACGGTAATGATTTCGAAAAACTTTTTGTGTTGTTACGTATCATGTCAAATCTCACCTTTCAAACTGAGTGCAATACCACGCTTTCAAAATCGACCTGCCTTAATATATACTAACCACATCAACGTAAACATTACTTCGTTCCGACACAGTCCTGAAGAATCAACCGCGTCACACGAAAAAAAAAAAAAGTTTCCACTTTGTCATAGATTTTCTTAAAATTGTCCTGATATATATAAAAATGCATATATCGTTTTTCCATATAAAATCAACGCCGAGAAGTAAATCGAATATGTCAGAATCGTATTAGGTATAATCTGATGTATAATATGTACCAGCACTAGAGAGACCGTCCCAGCAAGTAACACTCCTTCGTGAAAGGGCTATGTTTAATTAATGTCTTCTATAGCCTCTCAAAAGGGGAAATACCATGGGAATCTTTTAGCAGTTTTTGTCCCATGTATGCCTGGGACTCCCACTCTAAACTATGAT